TAGAATAGAATAGAATAGAATAGAATAGAATAGAATAGAATAGAATAACAGAATTGGAAGGTCTTCTAGTCCAACCCCCTGCAAGGATAACTATCTGTTTTATTTTCCTATTTTAAATATATTTAGCTTTCATCTTTTTTGCTGATAAATTTAAATAAATTCTTAGGCCTACTTACAAAAAAGTTTTACATTGAACGCACAATATTCTACGTTAAGTAACTCCCCATTCTGCCTTTACTAATTCTTCGTTTACCTCTAACCTTTGCTATCTCTCGGTATGACGCATCGCTCTTGCCCCGCCTTTTTCTCACAGGGAGACGTCCGGTTGGCAGATGCCCCGCGAGTCCCGCCTGTTCCCCCGAACGCAGCTCTTTCGTCATCCGTCCAATGAAAAGCCGTCTCCGCTCCTTCCGCCCCGCCCTCTCACTGAGACGCGAGGGCAAGCCCTCCAATAGGAAAGTCGAGTGGGCGTGGCCTGTGCTACCTCCCAGCATGGCGGCCAGAGAAGGGGTGGAAGTGGACGCTCGTCCGGTTCCTCCGCCGGCGAGCTCGGCGCTGGTCGAGCGGGGAGTTTCCGAGGGTCTGCAGCTGACCCCCGCCGCTCGAAAGTCGCAGCCGTCGGATCTGGTGGCTTTGGCCGAGCAAGTGGAGAAGGTGAGCGAGAGTGCCTCTGGGCATGTGCAGAGTGCCGAGGGATCTCAGATCCCCGGTGTGTCCAGAATGACCCCAAGGGAGACCTGGCTGCTTACGACGAAGGAACTCCAACGATAGGAGTCTATTATTTGGGGTTAATGAAGAAAAAACCCTAATTTTACGAATATAATATAAGAGAGGCCTCTTGTGTGCTGGGTTGCCCTTTTAAATGTTAGATTTTGTATTTATATATTAGTTGTTTGGATTGTATTATTATTTATGTATTTATAATTTATTATTATTGTCTTCAATTCGATTCAGAGTCTGGGACTGACAAAAACAATAGTTCAAGTCCTAACCAAGGTTTTTTTTTTGCATATTATTACTATTACTATTATTATAAACTTTAATTAATTAAACATAAAAGTCAAATGAACGTTTGAAAACATATTATTGACTGGCACTGATGGTTGATACGGGATGCTGCCAGCATTTATTAATAATATTTAATAATTTAATAATAATGTAATGATAATTTCTATGTTAAACATGAAACTCAGTCAACTGAATATTTAGAAATTATTATTACTGGTATTACCATTATTACCATTATTATTACCATTATTATTATTATGCACAAATGACACTTCCCATTATTATTGGTATTGTTGGTATTATTATTGTTGATTTAATCTTCAATTCGATTCACAGTCTGGGATTGGTTAAAAACAAAGTCCTAACCAAGGACCTAAGAGGAGTTGTTAATTTATTTTGTACGCCACCCCGAATTGCTGTTTCAGAAGTCGGCCTTTTGTCTCCCCAGGCGGATGAGTTTGTCCGAGCGAATGCCTGCAACCGGTTAACCGTCATTGCAGAACAAATCCGATATTTGCAAGAACAAGCCAGAAAGGTAATAATGGGCACGACGCCAGACCAGAATTATCCAGAGTTGAAGAAGAGTTGAAATACTAAAAAGGGCAAGAGATGATGTAGATATAAATTACTTCTTAATATGGTACCTGCTTTGTTAAGGGTTAGAAAATAAAGGTAGAAAGCAGAAATTGGGAAAATAGTATTATGTATACCGAGATATAACAGAATACATTATAATTACTATATATACGTAAATGTTAGAAGTTGAAAGATTATGTACACCTAAATAGTATTATTATTAGTATTGTGTATAAAATACATTGACCCACACAATTCACTGGTCACCAAACACTTAATGGTTGTTAAAGAAAAAAAAACTATAAGTAAAATTGCAAAAATATATATATATATTGATGTTTGATGGGAATTCGCCTATTTTTATGCACTAAGTATGACCTGGTTTTCTTAACTTGTAGGTTCTGGAAGATGCCAAAAGAGACGCCGACCTCCACCACGTGGCTTGTAACTTTGTGAAAAAACCTGGAAATACTTATTACCTGTACAGGAGAGAAAGTGGCCAGCGTTATTTCTCCTTGCTTTCCCCAAAGGTATTTGTAAACTGAGAAAAAGTTGACGCGGTAAATCCTCTGGGTTAAAAAAGATAACATTTCCCCCCCTCCTACCCACCTCCAAATTCTGTATATAGGAAAGAGAATTCTGTGTCACACTAAAAATTAAATTTTGAACTTTTAATGTTCGTTGTTCGCCTAGTCTCGACTTATGACAGTTCGTTTAATGACCATTCGAACTTACAATGGCACTGAAAAAAGAACTTATCACTCTTAAGGCTGTTGTAGCATTTCCCCGTGGTCACGTGATCAACAGCCTCGCATTTACGATGATTGCAGTGTCCCAGTTTTCCTCACTGCTGCCAGCCTTCATAAGCTCCGAAGGCAGCACTCCACTCCCTGATGGTCCTGGCCCCATCCCTGCATCCCACGCAGGCCCCTCACCCGAGTCCTCGCTCTCCGAGACCTCAGCCGTCTTAACCTGCTGCCGGCAAACC